GCGAGCCTCCATGCCCCACCCACCATACCTCTCTTGCTGTTTGTTGAGATGGGAATCTTGATGATTTTTTTGCTTATGTTGACTTCAGTTTTTACCAGTGTGAAGCTGGCTTTATTTCCATTATTTTAAACGTAGGAGTGACTGAGAAGGAATAGTTGCACATTATTAGCTTGTCCATCAGATTCTGTAATTCAGACTGGAATGGCATCTTTTAACACCCTGGGCTTTGTCTTTACAGGATTTATTGTAGGGATTAGACACTTTATATATTGTTGATATAAATTGATGATAAACATTGCCTATTGGTGATACAAGCTTAGTCTGGAAATACTTTCTGTTATAGATGTGCTTTGTGTTTTTCCAGATTTTGCTTTCGCCAGCAAAATACTCAGATTCTGCCAAGTAGTTCAGCCATTTTGTAAGTTGTTAGGAAAATAAACACCACACAGTACTGAAATGGCTGGCTGCTCTTTGTACAGAGAGAACCCACAGGCCTGCTGTTTTAATGGAATATTGCCATGTTGCCCCCTTGTGGCCTTTTGGAAAATAGGAAAAACAGAAGAGTAAGCCTTTTTAAAGCTTTCAAAACCAAGTTACTAGAAATGTTTAGTTGCTCCATTGTTGCTGGTTTCAGAAAGCATTTTTAAAACATACTAATTCCTTTTTATCCACATGTGAAATGTTAAAACTCCCCCCCTCCCTCAGATCACATATTACACTTAACAAAACTGTGGAGGTTGAAGAGGCTCCCCAACTCAGGGCTGTACCAGGTGTGATTGAGAAATTCATGTGTCTAGCCTCTCTGTGGACTTGGTACATGTGATGATGTGTTCATTGGCACAAATGAATGAGCAGTTCATGCCTGCTTTATGGTGTGCTGGCAGGTGGTTAATTTTTTGTGTACATAAACAAGGTGTGGAGTAATTTTGTTTTGGCATGTGCACGCAAGAGTAGCTTCGGTGGGGTGCTGGGGACTCACGCCTGTCATCCTAGCTACTCAGGAGGCTGAGATCTGAGGATCATGGTTCAAAGCCAGCCTGGTCAGGAAAAGCTGTGAAACTTACTCAGAAAACCGGAAGTGGCCCGGTGGCTTAAGTGGTAGAGTGCTAGCCTTTAGCTGAAGAGCTGAAGGACAGCGCCCAGGCCCAGAGTTCAAGCCCCATGACTGACAAAAAAAGAGTAGCTTAGGTCTAAATGTATTGCATTTCGGAATAGAGTGGGTTAGAGTTCCCACACAGGCTTAGAGCTGTTGTTGTACATGTCCTGAGGGAACCTGAGCATTCAGTGATGCCTAACTGACTCGTGGGAACTTCTTTTCTTAAGACAGAGCCCCTTTCAGTGCCCTCCCCCAGTAGAAAGCTGAAAGGCCCGTCAATGGCAATTGTTACTTGGACCGGCCCTGGTTTCCAGTGTGCTTGCCTGTTTTGCCTGTCTGTTGGCAGACTTCCAACTTTGTCAATTGGTGTGACTTCTGGCTCGGAAGACACAGCACAGGGTTGGTAAATAGGAAGTTCCTTGTTCTCCTGTTCCTTTTAGGCCCACACCACACATGCCTTTTCTATCTTTCTTGTTTTGGTTGCTTGTCCTGAAGCTGGAACTCAGGACCTGAGCACTGTCCCTGAGCTTTTTTTTTTTTGTTTTTTTTTTTGGTAGGTCATGGGGCTTGAACTCTGGGCCTGAGCGCTGTCCTTCAGCTCTTCAGCTCAAGGCGAGCGCTCTACCGCTTGAGCCATAGCGCCACTTCTGGTTTTCTAGTAGTTTATTGGAGGTAAGAGTCTCATGGACTTTCCTGCCTGGGCTGACTGAGACCCCATCCTCAGATCTCAGCCTCCTGAGTAGCTAGGATTATAGGCGTGAGCCACCGTGCCTGGCGGTCCCTGAGCTTTTTAACTTAAGGCTTGCACACCATCACTTGAGCTGTAGCTCCACTTGAAGCTTTTTTGTGGTTCATTGGAGATAAGAGTCTCACTGATTTTCCTGCCTGGGCTGGGTTTGAACCATGATCCTCAGATCTCAGCCTTCTGACTAGCTAGGATGACAGGTGTGAGCCACCAGTACCTGGCAAGGAGGAAGGAGAGGGAGCTGTGGAGGCGAGAGGCAGTCTTTATCACATTATCAATCTCAGAGTCTGGATTCTTGTTTGAGGCAGGCCCTCCGGATTGAGGCTAATGTGCATATATGTTTATAAAGCTCCCAGAATGAGTCCAATTTGCAACTATTGCTGAAAGCTGTTGGTTGGATAATTACAACCAGACTGCATTCTTCCTTTTTGGGTTACATGCTTTAGTTTGGTTTCTTGTGATTCTGTTTTTGCCCTACGGGAAATGATAGATGTGGATGAGACATAGGATTCATATCAGTCTGGTTTTAGATTAAGATTCAGAAAGGTACAATGGAGAGTTCCCTAACTACTCTTAAAAAAATATTTTATGCCAGGCGCTGGTGGATCACGCCTGTAATCCTAGCTACTCAGGAGGCTGAGATCTGAGAATCGCGGTTCAAAGCCAGCCCGGGCAGGAGAGACTGTGAGACTCCTATCTCCAATAAACCACCAGAAAACCGGAAGTGGCGCTGTAGCTCAAGTGGTAGAGCGCTCGCCTTGAGCTGAAGAGCTGAGGG